GGTGGAACTCACCCCCTATGATGCTGCTGCTGCTGTTCTTGTTGCGGCTGGTGCTGTTGTTGCTGTTGATACCTTTGTTCCTGCTGTGGCATAGTTGACTGTACGGCCATGGTACAAATGCTGAACATCAAAGCGAAGAGTGCACGCACGAGTAAAAGCTTCAAGTCAGGGTGGTAAGTGTGCCCGCACGAAGAGTGCACGCACTAGTATTGCCATAAGCCTTGGGGAGTAAGTGTGCCCACGTTTTAATCGGGTGAGAGAAAATCGTATCCATGTAGTTCACAAGAAAAAGGTTGTGGTCTTAGAATGACAGAAGCGTCAGATGAGGATTCGTTCCATGCTACTGCAAAGCTTAACTCCCCAAGGCTTATGGCAATACCACCCTGACGGGAAGCTTTTATAACTGGGATGATGTGGACCATGTGTAAGCGTCAATAACTTGGCGCTTAAGAATGTTGACATTTTTTACTTCCCTCTTTCCCCCTCCTCTTTCCCCCCCCACCCCCCCCCCCCCTCAATTTCCCATGTGATCATGCTAAACTATGTCTGTTTGCTTTCCCTCCTAACACTCACCTCTCTTTTCCCGCTACAGTGACATGGTGCACAATCACATTGCTGTGCCTCGTGCTTTCTCTCCTACCACTCACCTCTCTTCCCCTGCTGCAGTGACATGGTGCCCAGTCATGCCACTGCCAATGCCAATTGCTTTCCTTCCCACCACCCACCTCTCTTCCCCTGATACAGTCACATGGTGCACAGTCTCATCGCTGTGCCTCCTGCCAGTAGAGCTCCCAGCGGGGTCAGACGTAGAGGCAGGGGAGAAGGAGGAGGAGGAGAAAGAGGAGGAACTGGAGTAGGAGTGAGAGGAGGAGTGGGAGGATGAGTGAGAGGAGGAGGAAAGGGGGAGGTGAAAGATATGGGCAGTGCCGGTGCTGCTGGTGAGAGCAAGAGAGGGAGGGAGAGAGCCAGGCGGGGAGAAGGAGAGGGAGAAGATAGATGCAGGGTAGGCACCTCTTTTGAAAGAGAAGAGCTGGTGGCAGGGGTGGAACGGGGTGGGAAGGGGTGGGAGGCGGTGCAATTGGGTGGAAATATTTTTTTTTAAGGTGGTGCTACTGGTGAGAGCGAGAGAGAGAGGGAGAGAGCCCGGCGGAGTGAAGGAGATGGAGAAGATAGAAGCAGGGTAGGCGCCTCGTTTGAAAGAGAAGAGCTGGTGACAGGGGTGAAAGGGGGTGGGAAGGGGTGAAAAGGGGTGGGAATGGGTGGGAGGTGGTGTGATTAGGTGGATATTATTGATGGTGCCGATGCTGCTGGTGAGAGAAAGGGATGAAAGGAGAAACCTGGGAGAAAAGGACAGGGAAAAGATAGCAGCAGGGTAGGCGCCTCTCAGGAAAGAAAGAGCTGGTTATTGAGGGGTTAGAAGGGGTGGGCAGAGGTGGGAAGAGAGGATAATTATGGGGTTGTGGCGGGGTGGAGGAAACACTAGCTTCCCCACCTGTTTGAACACCTCCCCTTTTCCACCTGTTGAACATGTTTGAACAGGGGGTGGGCAGCAGCTGCAGAAAAAGGGTTTTTGAGTCGACTCAAAAGTCAACTCGAAGCACGGCAGATGGCAGCTTGTGCAAGACTCTTGAGAATTCTCAAAAGTGACTCCAACGGAGAATGGAAGGTGGCAATGCATTCATTACTGGTCAAGAAGGTCTGGTTGGTCGTTTCATTACTGGTATAGATTCAACGTGTACTGACTAGGTCTTTTCTTGAATGTGTCCCCACCTTGTTGCCAGTCCACATTCAACGTACATGCTGACTGAAAAGGCTTTCTGATTGCACGTGCCCTCACCTTGTTGCCGGTCTACATTTGATGTATGCCAAATACGCAGGCCTAACCTTGCAGGTGCCCACACTTTGTGGCCTATCCAGATGCAGTGCACCCAAATGACGGACGGTGTGTCGAACCTTTCAAAATGGTCCAGATTCAATGAATGCAAGAAAGACACAATGGCCCATCCTCACACTTGCACGTGGCCCCACCTTGTTGCATATCCAAATGCAGTGCATCTGAATGAACGTGCCCTTGGCAGATGCTTCTAACATGGTCCAGATTCAATGAATGTAAGGAAGGAAGACCCATCGTGTTGCCCTCCTTGTTTCACATGCACGAAGCGCACCTTGTTGCCTGTCCAGATGCAGTGCACCCAAATGACCGTGCCCTCATTGATGCATTCATAAAAGGTCCAGGTTCAATGAGCACAGAAGTAACAGTCTGGCCCTCTTTTTTTTTTTTTTTTGATGCCTGTCCGGATACAGTGCACTCAAGTGACGGTGCTTTCATCAATCCTTCTACTATGGTCGAGATTCAATGCACGCACACGCTCCCACCTTGTTGCCTGTCCGGATACAGTGCACCCGAATCACAGTGCCCTTGGCAGATGCTGACGCCAGCAGCTCCCTTCCCCCTCCTCCTCCTCCTCCCTCCTCATTCCCGCCTTCTCCCCCTTCTCCCCCTTCCTCCCCTCCTCCTCCCCCCTCTCTGTCCCCTTGAAAATTTGAGGAAAGTGAGTCAGGGAGGCGGGTGACTAGGTAGTAAAGGGTGATGTACATGGGGGGAGAGTTCGTGGCACAGAACTCAGTGGGAAGGGCAGCACGGTAGCAGGCGTCACTAGTGCGAAGGTGAGCAACTAGGTCAGCGACTGTGGCAAAGGCGGCAAGGTCAGGGAAAAGGTACGGCAGCATGAGGCGGCTGAGTGTAGCAGTGGAAGGGGAGGAGTAGCGTGCAACTACAGCGTCGTACAAAGACTGAGCAGTCTTGTACTGGCCAAAGTGTGCGCGCTCAGCAGGCGGCAGGTGACTACGAACAGCAAGACGAGCAACAGCGTCACGAGTGGTCCACTGAGAGCGAACAGTACTGTCAGCCGTGACAGCAGGAGCAGTGGAAACACCAGACGTGTGATCGAAAAGAGATACCCCATCCCTAGAATCACACTGAAGAAACAGCTGGAGATCGTCAACCCACACGTCAAAGCCAACTGCACGTCCCTGAGCATCAAAGGTGAGAACGGTGGGACTAGCCATAGTAGCAGTAGGAGCAGCAGCAGTGGAAAGCAGGGAAAGCAGCAGTAGCAGCAGGAGCAACTCAGCTAGGCAGGGCAGCGCGACTCGGCAGGGCGGCTCGGCAGCGCGGCTCGGCAGGGCGGCTCGGCAGCGCGACTCGGCCCGGCTATGCTCTTACCAGGGGCGAGGCCGGGGCAGGGCCGGGGCAGGGCTGCGACAGGTCCGGGACTGGGCCGCAACGGGGCCAGAGAAGGGTCGGGGCCGAGGCAGGTCTGGGACGGGGCCGCGACGGGGCCGGGACAGGGTCGGGGCCGGGGCAGGTCCGGGACGGGGCCGCAACAGGGTCGGGGCTGGGGCAGGTCCGGGACTAGGCCGTGACGGGGCCGGGGCAGGGCCGGGACAGGGTCGGAGCCGGGGCAGGGCTGGGACAGGGCCGGGGCAGGACAGGGTCGGGGCCGCTACTGGGCCGCGTAAGGGGCCGCGTAAGGGGCCGCGTCGGGCCTAGAAGGGGCCGCGACAGGCCTAGAAGGGGCCGCGACGGGCCTAGAAGGGGCCGCGACGGGCCTAGAAGGGGCCGCGACGGGGCCGCGTAAGGGGCCGCGATGGGCCTAGAAGGGGCCGTGACAGGCCTAGAAGGGGCCGCGACGGGCCTAGAAGGGGCCGCGACGGGGCCTAGAGGGGGCCGCGACAGGCCTAGAGGGGGCCGCGACAGGCCTAGAAGGGGCCGCGACGGGCCTAGAAGGGGCCGCGACGGGCCTAGAAGGGGCCGCGACGGGCCTAGAAGGGGCCGCGACGGGCCTAGAAGGGGCCGCGACGGGCCTAGAAGGGGCCGCGACGGGCCTAGAAGGGGCCGCGACAGGCCTAGAGGGGGCCGCGACGGACCTAGAGGGGGCCGCGACGGGCCTAGAAGGGGCCGTGACGGGCCTAGAAGGGGCCGCGACGGGCCTCAAGGGGGGCCGAGACGGGCCGCAAGGGGGGCCGCTACGGGCCACGAAGGGGCCACTACGGGCGCAAAGGGGCCTCTACGGGCCGTGAGGGGGGGCCGCTACGGGCCGCGAAGGGGGGCCGCGAAGGGCAGGCGCGACGCGCGCGTCGGGCAGGTAAGGAAAAAAAAAATCGTTCTAGTGGTGGGCCCTTAGGAAAAACTAGCTCTATACCATGTGAGAATAATAGGAATGGATGATTGAACTAGAAACGAGATGGGTACAAGTAGACAACACAAAAGTGTTGTACCCTCTAAGAACTACCCCACTACAGCCTAAACAGACTATAGCAGATATAAGTTTGACATATATTGCTGCGTGGGAGATGGGAGGGTTGGGAGCAGCGAGGTGGTTTCAACGGCTGCGATTGGCCCATCGTGAGCCTTGATCTGGGAGAGTGGGGAGGGGGAGAGGGCAGGCAGGGAAGGGAAAGCGGGAGTCAGAGTGTCACGTGCAGGCGTGTGAGCAATGGCTGTAATCGGCCTGTCATGAGCCTTGATCTGGGAAAGGGGGACGAGGGAAAGGGAAAGTGAGGAAAAGAGGAGCAGAAAAGAGGAAAGGTTCGAATCAAAGTGCAAGGTGAGGGAGAGATGCGGGGAGAAGAGAGAGGGGCGAGGAGGAGTAGAAGCAGACTCACCTGGCCAAAAGGCCTGGGGAGAGATGAGATTGACTGGCAGCAGAGAGCCTTGATCCGATGAGGAGGAGGAGGACGAGGCGGCTTTTGATGCATCTCAATAGGCTCACCTGACCAAAGGCGTGTGGAGAGATGCGATCCACGATGAGCAGAGTGCCTTGATCCGATGAGGGGGAGGAGGAGGAGGAGGCAAGAACGAAGAGAGGGGCGAGGCATTGAAAGGAGAGAGTGGAGCACGGGCAGCAACAGGCTCACCTGGCCGAAGGCCTGGAGAGAGATGAGATCGACTGGCAGCAGATTGCGTTGATCCGATGAGGCGGAGGGGGAGGAGGAGGTTAGCGAGGCAAGGGAGAGGAGGGAGGGGAGAGAGGGGCGGGGAGGGGGAGCAGCAAACCCACCTGGCCAAAGGCCTGGAGAGAGATGAGATCGACTAGAAGTAGTGAGCCTTGATCAGAGGAGGAGGAGGAAGAGGCAGAAGAGGAGGAAGTTAGTGAGGTGAGGGAGAGGAGGGAGGGGCGAGGGGGAGCAGCAGGAACGGCGCAGAAGCAGGAGGAGGAGGGGGTGAGGGGGCGAGGAGAGAGCGGGCTCAGGGCACAGATGCCTGGGAGACAGACCAGGAGGGGATGATGGGAGGGGAAACAGCACAGGGAGAACATGGCACATGCAAATAGGAAGGGGAGAGGGGGCGAGGAGAGAGCGGGCTCAGGGCACAGGTGCCTGGGAGACAGACCAGGAGGGGATGATGGGAGGGGAAACAGCACAGGGAGAACATGGCACATGCAAATAGGAAGGGGAGAGGGGGCGAGGAGAGAGCAGGCTCACGGCACAGATGCCTGGGAGGAACAGGGGAGGGGAGAATGACAGGGGGAACATGGTAGGGGGGAAAGAGGGTTGAGATGGGCCACCCGTGTTGCTAAGTGACTCAAAAGTTTCACGCAATGTTCGCTTCACACAGCATGACAAGCAGTGATAATGTGGCATGCACCCACAGTTGGAGTAACTGTGGTTGTTGTTCATTCATTCATGTGGCCAGAAGATTCACCATTGGGGTTAGGGGCGACTGTGGGATGATTTGAATGCTTATGTGACTAGGACTGTCCTTTCGGCTAGCAACCACCATTGGAGTAACTGTGGTTGTTGTTCATTCATTCATGTGGGCAGAAGGGGTCACCATTGGGTTTGGGGCGACTGTGAGGGAGAGCAGCAGAGGGAAATCAGCAACAACACCCTTAAGGGTGAGCAGCAACCAGAGGGGTGTGTCAGCCCAGCTTGCGCGCTCATACTGCATCTGGTTGTGATATCAGTGACGGCTTGCCTGACTGAATCTGGTTGTGATATCAGTTTGAACACTGTCTTTCTTCACTGTCTTGCAGTTTTTTATTATAAACGGCTTGCTGTGATCCCCACAACGTGGTTCTATGCTTGTGCAGGCACAATCACAACGAACAGTAGCAGCAGCAGCAGCAGCAGCAGCAGCAGCAGCAGCAGCAACAATAGCAGCAGCATCAACAACAGAAGCAGCAGCGACAATAGCACCAACAGTGGCATCAACACCATCAAAAGCAACAGCAGCAGCAGCAGTGAGTCTACTTCACCAGCAGCATCTGGAGGTGGAGGTGGGCTGTCAGTGGGAGTCATCATTGGCATTGCTGTTGCTGCTGTGGTCATTCTCCTGCTTCTGGGCGCCACTCTGCTCTACCTGAGGCACCGCAAGCAGCAGCAGCAGCAACAGAAGAAGAAGCCAAAAGGTGGGGAGTTGAAGCAACTAGATGGAGTGCACTATGGACGACCAGAGTCTCTTGGTGCTGTTTTCTTGAGTCTTGACCTAAATGTCTCCTGTTTTGGTCAAGTCCTCAATGACCCATATATTGACCCAAACGACTTGAATCAGCCCCAATCTGGAGCATTTTAGTAAGTCATGTTGTTAGGGCAAACACAAGCCCGGCTCGAATGAAGTCAGCAGCGGAGTCGGCAGGAAGCCTACTTAACTACACCGACTTGACTTGTTCTCAACTCTGCATGTTCCTCCTTCACCCCTCTGACGCCATGAGCAGACCTGGGGGGCAGCCTGGCAGCCTCCCATTGCACCGAGTACTCACTGGAAGAGGTCCTCACGGCCACCAATGACTGGTCTCAGGACCACCAGCTGGTCTCATGTGCCTCCTTTCACCCCTGGCATTCTGAGCAGGCACTGGCAGCAGCCTGGCAGCCTCCCATTGCACTGAGTACTCACTGGAAGAGGTCCTCACGGCCACCAATGACTGGTCTCAGGACCACCAGCTGGTCTCATGTGCCTCCTTTCACCCCTGGCATTCTGAGCAGGCACTGGCAGCAGCCTGGCAGCCTCTCATTGCACCGAGTACTCACTGGAAGAGGTCCTCACGGCCACCAATGACTGGTCGCAGGACCACCAGCTGGTCTCATGTGCCTCCTTTCACCCCTGGCATTCTGAGCAGGCACTGGCAGCAGCCTGGCAGCCTCTCATTGCACCGAGTACTCACTGGAAGAGGTCCTCACGGCCACCAATGACTGGTCTCAGGACCACCAGCTGGTCTCATGTGCCTCCTTTCACCCCTGGCATTCTGAGCAGGCACTGGCAGCAGCCTGGCAGCCTCTCATTGCACCGAGTACTCACTGGAAGAGGTCCTCACGGCCACCAATGACTGGTCGCAGGACCACCAGCTGGTCTCATGTGCCTCCTTTCACCCCTGGCATTCTGAGCAGGCACTGGCAGCAGCCTGGCAGCCTCTCATTGCACCGAGTACTCACTGGAAGAGGTCCTCACGGCCACCAATGACTGGTCTCAGGACCACCAGCTGGTCTCATGTGCCTCCTTTCACCCCTGGCATTCTGAGCAGGCACTGGCAGCAGCCTGGCAGCCTCTCATTGCACTGAGTACTCACTGGAAGAGGTCCTCACGGCCACCAATGACTGGTCGCAGAACCACCAGCTGGGCTCGGGTGCCTTTGGCGACGTGTACAAGGGCGTGTCTCCCCGTGATGGCACCACCGTGTGGGCTGTGAAGCGCGCCAAGCTCATAGACGTTGACTTTCAGAAGGAGGTCAGTGAGGCAATTTTGAGAACTATCCTTTGCGGCACCTTCGAGATTTGTTTTGGTCACATTTGAGAACTGTCTTTTCACTTGTGTGGATTCTCTTTTGAGTGACTTTTAAGATTTTTCTTATTTTGCAACTTTGGAGAAATTACTTCTGAGTCACTTTAGAGCATTCTCAAGCTCATAGACGATGACTTCCAGAAGGAGGTCAGTGAGTTATGCTGACATGCAGCTAAGGATGCCGATATAGGGATGGCAATTTAGGCACCTCAAAAGTGATGCAGCTGGGTGTCGCCGTTAAGGATGCCACTATAGGGATGGCATTTGTCGTCGCCTTGCCATGGTGTCTTGTGCTCCGTTTCATTTTTCCATTTGAAGTCTTATCTCACAAGATTTTTGCAGGCATGAGTAAAAATACGTAAAACTCCTCCGATTGCAAACCATTCTTGGCTATTTCTTGCGTGCTCCTCTTCTCAATCTTCTCCTTCTCTGCTGCTCACGTTTTCGTCTGTGAAATTCAGATCAAGCAAATGGCCGACAAGAACCACCCCAACATTGTCAGGCTTCTTGGCTTTGCGATCGGAGGAGACCTCAGGACTCGGCCAGAGCAAGTTCTCATCTATGAATACGTGCCCAATGGCGACCTTCACAAATGGATTGATCCAAGTATGTTCAGCTCTCCCATAGTGTGTAATGTGCCACTCACACGCTCTATCACTCACATGCTCTGCCACTCACACGCTCTGCCACTCACATGCTCTGCCACTCACACGCTCTGCCACTCACATGCTCTGCCACTCACACGCTCTGCCACTCACATGCTCTGCCACTCACACGCTCTGCCACTCACATGCTCTGCCACTCACACGCTCTGCCACTCACACGCTCTGCCACTCACACGCTCTGCCACTCACACGCTCTGCCACTCACACGCTCTGCCACTCACACGCTCTGCCACTCACACGCTCTGCCACTCACACGCTCTGCCACTCACACGCTCTGCCACTCACATGCTCTGCCACTCACACGCTCTGCCACTCACATGCTCTGCCACTCACACGCTCTGCCACTCACATGCTCTGCCACTCACATGCTCTGCCACTCACATGCTCTGCCACTCACATGCTCTGCCACTCACACGCTCTGCCACTCACATGCTCTGCCACTCACATGCTCTGCCACTCACATGCTCTGCCACTCACACGCTCTGCCACTCACATGCTCTGCCACTCACATGCTCTGCCACTCACATGCTCTGCCACTCACACGCTCTGCCACTCACATGCTCTGCCACTCACACGCTCTGCCACTCACACGCTCTGCCACTCACACGCTCTGCCACTCACACGCTCTGCCACTCACACGCTCTGCCACTCACACGCTCTGCCACTCACACGCTCTGCCACTCACACGCTCTGCCACTCACACGCTCTGCCACTCACACGCTCTGCCACTCACACGCTCTGCCACTCACACGCTCTGCCACTCACACGCTCTGCCACTCACATGCTCTGCCACTCACACGCTCTGCCACTCACATGCTCTGCCACTCACATGCTCTGCCACTCACATGCTCTGCCACTCACATGCTCTGCCACTCACATGCTCTGCCACTCACATGCTCTGCCACTCACATGCTCTGCCACTCACATGCTCTGCCACTCACATGCTCTGCCACTCACATGCTCTGCCACTCACACGCTCTGCCACTCACATGCTCTGCCACTCACATGCTCTGCCACTCACATGCTCTGCCACTCACACGCTCTGCCACTCACATGCTCTGCCACTCACATGCTCTGCCACTCACACGCTCTGCCACTCACACGCTCTGCCACTCACACGCTCTGCCACTCACACGCTCTGCCACTCACACGCTCTGCCACTCACACGCTCTGCCACTCACACGCTCTGCCACTCACACGCTCTGCCACTCACACGCTCTGCCACTCACATGCTCTGCCACTCACACGCTCTGCCACTCACATGCTCTGCCACTCACACGCTCTGCCACTCACATGCTCTGCCACTCACATGCTCTGCCACTCACATGCTCTGCCACTCACATGCTCTGCCACTCACATGCTCTGCCACTCACACTGCTCTGCCACTCACATGCTCTGCCACTCACATGCTCTGCCACTCACACGCTCTGCCACTCACACGCTCTGCCACTCACACGCTCTGCCACTCACACGCTCTGCCACTCACACGCTCTGCCACTCACACGCTCTGCCACTCACACGCTCTGCCACTCACACGCTCTGCCACTCACACGCTCTGCCACTCACACGCTCTGCCACTCACATGCTCTGCCACTCACACGCTCTGCCACTCACATGCTCTGCCACTCGCATGCTCTGCCACTCACACGCTCTGCCACTCACATGCTCTGCCACTCACATGCTCTGCCACTCACACGCTCTGCCACTCACACGCTCTGCCACTCACACGCTCTGCCACTCACACGCTCTGCCACTCACACGCTCTGCCACTCACACGCTCTGCCACTCACACGCTCTGCCACTCACACGCTCTGCCACTCACATGCTCTGCCACTCACACGCTCTGCCACTCACATGCTCTGCCACTCACACGCTCTGCCACTCACATGCTCTGCCACTCACATGCTCTGCCACTCACATGCTCTGCCACTCACATGCTCTGCCACTCACATGCTCTGCCACTCACATGCTCTGCCACTCACATGCTCTGCCACTCACATGCTCTGCCACTCACATGCTCTGCCACTCACATGCTCTGCCACTCACACGCTCTGCCACTCACATGCTCTGCCACTCACATGCTCTGCCACTCACATGCTCTGCCACTCACACGCTCTGCCACTCACATGCTCTGCCACTCACATGCTCTGCCACTCACACGCTCTGCCACTCACACGCTCTGCCACTCACACGCTCTGCCACTCACACGCTCTGCCACTCACACGCTCTGCCACTCACATGCTCTGCCACTCACACGCTCTGCCACTCACATGCTCTGCCACTCACACGCTCTGCCACTCACATGCTCTGCCACTCACATGCTCTGCCACTCACATGCTCTGCCACTCACATGCTCTGCCACTCACATGCTCTGCCACTCACACGCTCTGCCACTCACATGCTCTGCCACTCACATGCTCTGCCACTCACACGCTCTGCCACTCACACGCTCTGCCACTCACACGCTCTGCCACTCACACGCTCTGCCACTCACACGCTCTGCCACTCACACGCTCTGCCACTCACACGCTCTGCCACTCACATGCTCTGCCACTCACACGCTCTGCCACTCACATGCTCTGCCACTCACACGCTCTGCCACTCACATGCTCTGCCACTCACACGCTCTGCCACTCACATGCTCTGCCACTCACATGCTCTGCCACTCACATGCTCTGCCACTCACATGCTCTGCCACTCACATGCTCTGCCACTCACATGCTCTGCCACTCACATACGCTACACTGCCACTCACATACGCTAGACTGCCACTCATACAGTGCTGTGTATCCTTGCAGAGGCAGAACGCCCTCTGAATCTGAAGCAGCGGCTGGACATTCTCATCGGCATGGCACGGGGCTTTGAGTACCTCCACGGCTTTGGCATCGTGCATCGCGACATCAAGCCTGCCAACGTCCTCATCACCGAAAACATGCAGGCAGGCTTGGTTGTATTGCATCATGCATTGTTTTGTTCTATTCCCTAAGTTTCTGGTTCAATTAGAATCAAAGCCTTGGGAGAAATACTGATTGAAAATGGGGGCGTTCATGCATGAAACTCAAGTGTCGTTCAGTGGAGACGATGTTGATCAGTATTTAGTAAACCTCCGTGTTACAGTCTAGATCAGACACTGCTACAACACACCTGCTATGGTTGGCATTGTCAAGTCTCTTGGTTTTTTTTTTTTTTTTTTTTTTTTTTTTTCTGAATGCCCTTGTTCCGTGCAACAACCATTTGTTGAACCTCACCAACACATCCTTTCACTTTCCAATGCAAGGTCTGCCAAGGTAAACATTCTGTCATATATCCGCCCTTCATTCCCGCAGTCGTCACATGATACAATGTCTCTCAACGCACCCTCCAGGCCAAGATTGCAGACTTTGGGCTGTTGAGGATGAGAGGGCAGCACAGTAGGCGACAGAGTGGTTCGAGCTGACGGGATGCAAACACAACACCATCGATCAAATCGCCCTGATCTCATCGTAACACCACCTCATCCCACCCTTGTCTTGCCTATGGCGCCCCAACGCACCCTCCAGGCCAAGATTGCAGACTTTGGGCTGTTGAGGATGAGAGGGCAGCACAGTAGGCGACAGAGTGGTTCGAGCTGACTGGATGCAAACACAACACCATCGATCAAATCGCCCTGGTCTCATCGTAACACCACCTCATCCCACCCTTGTCTTGCCTATGGCGCCCCAACGCACCCTCCAGGCCAAGATTGCAGACTTAGGGCTGTTGAGGATGAGAGGGCAACACAGTAGGCGACAGAGTGGTTCGAGCTGACTGGATGCAAACACAACACCATCGATCAAATCGCCCTGGTCTCATCGTAACACCACCTCATCCCACCCTTGTCTTGCCTATGGCGCCCCAACGCACCCTCCAGGCCAAGATTGCAGACTTTGGGCTGGTTAGGATGGGAGAGGGCACGACCGTGGGAACGACACGCATCATGGGCACACCAGGCTATGTGGATCCTGTCTACTCCCGAACGTCCAAGGCGACTGCAGCCAGTGATGTGTACAGGTGAGGCAGGAGAATTCGCACACAAGGCCAGACAATGACACCCATAAGAATCCTTGGAGGGGATGCTGGCTGACGAGACAAAACCTGATGATTGTGGGAATAATGGGCATGATGGGGCGTGATGGGGCGTGACAGGGCATGACGGGGCATGGTGGGTTGTAATGGGGTGGTATGGGGCATGATGGGGCGTGATGGGGCAGGATGGAACTGAACCTGTGCACATTGTATTCAATTGGCCAGATTGGGATTTGTCAACATCTGAACCGCCAACATTTTCTGCACTTGAGCATACGTGCTGGTTTTCAGCTTTGAAGTTCGACCTTTGAGGTGGTTCGACTTTTCGATCTCAGAATCAGTGCCTTTGAAAATGTGTGCTGTATTTTCAGCTTCAGAGTACTCATTTTGGTGGTGCTCACCGGACAGGCCCCTATTTCAGAGACTGCTGGCAAGAGCCAGCAAATCACCCCATGGGTAATGTTTTTAGGTGTTCTCAGAGGGATTACTTTGGGTATTTTTTTCGGTCAAGTGCTTACCATGTCCACCTTTCCACATGGTCCCGTGATTTCACATTCTTACAAGCAGTCTACGCGTGCCTTCTTTTCATACTATTTGATGTGTCAACTCGTCAACTCCCTCCTCCCATTTATGAGCTCTCCCACCCCATCCCCTTCCGTCTGTCATTTCTTCCTTCCAGGCATCTGAGTGCCTGTCCTCGGGTGAGTTGGGGAGCCTCAAGGACCCCAATCTAGATGCCCCTGCGGATGCTGTGCTGCGTGTGGCTCAGCTCGCCCTCTCCTGCACCAGAGAGCGCACTGCAGGGCGCCCAAGCATGGCACAAATCGCCAACGAGCTGCAGGCTATCCGGGATGAAGTGGTGGGGAAGGAGGAGCTTAGCGCGGCTGTCGGGGTGGATAATCAGGTTCAGGAGATGAAGGATGTTTTCGCGGGTACCGAGAGCCTTGACGCAGAAATCCAGATGATTGGGGACAGCTTTGCTGAGGAAAACCCGGTGTGAGGCATGGTGTGAGGAAAGCTCTAAGCAGCCCACCTACAAGTGATGGTGTTTAGTAGCATTTTCCGATTGACTGTTGATGAATGTGGTGTGGATGATAAGTACTTCTATTAGAATAGCATTGGAGTGACTAGGTTCTGCACGGATTGATTTGCATGTGGATGGTACCGTATATGGAGAGGATGCTGTGCTGTTGGAGGTCATGGAACAACAACATAGACCACTTGTTGGATGCTGTTGTGGTAAAGGTAGTTGGCCATTTGTTTCATGCTCTGTGGCTGATCAATACATTTGACCTAGTACAGTCTGAGGTTCTGAACTATTTCATCTGATCTAGATAGCAAAAAAATGAGAGGACCCCTCCACCAAAGCAATGAGAGGTTGTTTGCAATGAAGAGAAGTGTTTTGTTGAGCTTGTTTGCAATGAAGGCAACAACAACTCAATGATATATCATGTGCAGCTGAGCTTTGTTGAGAACCCCAAGCGTGCAGCAGCTGCCTCTAAGTTTACAACCCTCGTTGTTGAATTATATGCGTTCAGGTTCATGCTATGCTCACCACACAAATGTTACAATTCAAAACGAGGGTGGCGATCCCTTTCTCTCTGTTAAGAACATCCATTAATGAATGAAAGCGAGGACATCCAAAAGCAGGTTACAGTCGTACAACTATTTATCCTTGGTCTAAGTAGCATGCTGGTCGGCTGAGACCGAACATCTGCTGAAGGACCGAGCAGACTTAACAAATTATCATAATAGGCCTGGCCAGGCCATTGGTGAGAAAGGAGAGAGGGCGGAAATGGAGGACGGGAAGGGTTTGGGAAAAGTATTGGTAAGGCCTGCCCAAGGGGGTTTGGGTAGAGGAAGAGAATTGGAAAAAAAGAGTGTTACATGCAAACATCAGAATAAAAAAAGGTGAGAACAGATGTAATAAAAATGATTTGTATAGAAGCATGCTGTGAGGGAGATGGTTTCAACACCTGCGATCGGCCCATCACAAGCCTTGATCTGGTAGAGGTGGATATGGGGGCTGGGGAAGGGGCAAAACGAGGAAAGGTCTGAATTAGAGTGGAACAGGGAACTTGTGGGAACACCTTATTTTTTAAGATCTAAACAGGCTGTTTGACAACAGAGTGAGAGTTGCAGCAGCAGGAACAGAGGTAGAACACACTCACCTGACCAAACATATGATTGTTCAGAATTCAACCCAAAGAGTTAGAGACAATCAAGCAACAGGTGCAGGAGCAGGAACAGAGGTAGAACACACTCACCTGACCAAACATCTGATTGTTCAGAATCCAAATCAGAGGGCTATGAGACCAGCAAGCAGCAGGTGCAGGAGTAGAAGTGGGAGCGAGGGCTGTTGTGGTGGCGGCAGCGGCAGCAGCAGAAACCGGCTCACCTTGCCATAGGCATGGAGAGAAATGAGATCCACATTAAGGCAAGTGCCTTGATCCGACGATGATGATGATGATGATGATGATGATGATGATGATGATGATGATGATGATGATGATGATGATGATGATGATGATGATGATGTTGAGGAGGAGGAGGAGGAGGAGGAGGAGGAGGAGGAGGAGGAGGAGGAGGAGGAGGAGGAGGAGGCTAGTGAGGTGAGAGGGAAAGAGGCAGGGAGAGAAGAGAGGGGCGAGGAGCAGCAACAGAAACAGCAGTAGCCAACCCACATGGCCAAAGGCTTGGAGAGAAACGAGGCCCACAATGGCAGATTGCCTTGATATGATGATGATGATGATGATGGTGAGGAGGAGAGGAGGAGGAGGAGGAGGAGGAGGAGGAGGAGGAGGAGGAGGAGGCAAGGGAGGAGAGGGATAGAAGCAAGGAGAGGAGTGAGGGGCGAGCAGCAGCAGCAGGAACAGAAAAAAACCCTCTTGGCCGACTGCTTGGGGAGAAAAAAGAGATCCACAATCAGCAGAGTGCCTTGATCCGTTTTGAGACGTCTCAAACAAAAAAAATCAGCAGAGTGCCTTGATCAGTTTTGAGACGTCTCAAACAAAAAAAATCAGCAGAGTGCCTTGATCAGTTTTGAGACGTCTCAACCTCAATTAGCTGAGTGCCTTGATCAGATAATGATGATGGTGAAGAGGAGGTTAGCGAGGAGAGGGATAGAGGCAGGGAGAGGAGAGAGGGGTGAGGAGCGGCAGCAGGAACGGCACAGAAGCAGGAGGAGGGGGAGAGAGGGCCTAGGAGATAGGGGGCTCAGAGCACATATGCCTAGGAGGCAGGCCGGGAGGGAGAAATGGCATGGGGGAAATGGCATGGGGGAAATGGCATGGGGGACATGGCAGGGTGAAATGGCAGAGGGAAATGGCAGAGGGAACATGATGGGAGGAAAGGGGAGTGAAGACAGGTGACATGCGCTGCTCCAGACATCCATGGCCCTGTATGTCATCTGTGCACATGCAAAAGACCAAAAGGGCTTCACGTCGCTGGCTGGGCTGGCCTTGGACGTTCGGGAGTAGAGATCCACATAGCCCGGTGTGCCCATGTTGCGAGTCGTACCGACAGTCGTGCCCTCTCCCATCCTCACCAGCCCAAATTCTGCAATCTTGGCCTGGTGGATATGTTGAGAGGCTTTGTAGCATGAGACAAATGTGAGAATTAAGAACACATAGATGTGGTGGCATGATGCATAGCATGGAGGGGATGTTTGCATCAGCAGATCTTGCATTGTAAAGGGAACGGATGCGTTAGTGAGGTTCAATAATGCTTGTTGCAAGTAATACGAAATAACAGAAAAGACCCGATAGACATGACCATGCCAAATCAGCAGGTGTAATGTACAAATGCCTGATCGTCTACACCTTAACAGACGAGTTAATCAAGATACAAATGAACTTGCTCCACCGAGCGACATTTGAGTTCTATACCTCATTTATGTGCGCTCCCGGTGTTATTCAATTACTCACCCACGGTTCTGACTCTGATTGCACAGAAAAACTTTGGGAATGGAACAAAACGCCAAGCCATTCCACCCTAACGTCAATGAAAAAGCCAAGCTTGCTTGCATGCGGTTGGTGATGAGGACGTTGGCAGGCTTCAGCTTGCCTGCATGCTGTCGGTGCTGCAAAGCCATGGAGGCACTCAACGCCCTGTGCCATGCCGATGAGAATGTCCAGCCGCTGCTTCAGATTCAGAAGGCAGGCTGCCTCCGCAAGGAAAAATTTGGCAGCATGAGTGGCCGAGCATGAGTGGCCGAGCATGAGTAGTAGAGCATGAGTAGTTGAGCATGAGTGGGCGAGCATGAGTGGCCGAGCATGAGTGGCCGAGCATGAGTAGTTGAGCATGAGTGGCCGAGCATGAGTGTCCGAGCATGAGTGGCCGAGCATGAGTGTCCGAGCATGAGTGGCCGAGAATGAGGCAGAGCATGAGTAGCAGAGAAAACGCGGCTTGGCTTGGCACGCTTCGCAGCCTTTTGAGGTGCCTCAAATGTTATATCACCGTGTCTCACTAACATCCTAGAATTCCCTGCGTATGAGCTTGGCACGCTTCACAGCCCACATTGTTGTGGTGCCATCACAGGGAGTCACGCCCTTGTATTTATTTACTGGACCAACCGGCAATTCGAGTCGTGACTAGACTTGTAAACTTGCATGCTTGCCTAGGTTCATAACTTTAAAACCTTTCTTTTCATTCACTTACCGTACTACCCCAAAGGCAAGCAAACAACTGGAAATAGCTGCACTAACATAGTCTGGTCATCTAGAGTGGACTTCTTCTGGTTGCTTTATGCTTCTGCCTCAAGTAAAGCAGAGTGGTTCCCAGAAGCAGGAGAATGACCACAGCAGCAACAGCAATGCCAACTCCCCCACCGACACTCCACCTCCACCTCCAGATGCTGCTGGTGAAGTAGACTCGCTGCTGCTGCTGCTGCTGCTGCCGTTGGTGCTGTTGCTGCTGTCGTTGGTGCTGTTGCTGCTGCCATTGCTTCCGTTGCTGCTGCCATTGGTGCTGTTGCTGCTTCCATTGGTGCTGTTGCTGCTGCCGTTGGTGCTGTTGCTGCTGCCGTTGGTGCTGTTGCCGCTGCCATTGGTGCTGTTGCTGCTGCCGTTGGTGCTGTTGCTGCTTCCATTGGTGCTGTTGCTGCTGCCATTGGTGCTGTTGCTGCTGCCATTGGTGCTGTTGCTGCTGCCGTTGGTGCTGTTGCTGCTGCCATTGGTGCTGTTGCTGCTGCCGTTGGTGCTGTTGCTGCTGCCATTGGTGCTGTTGCTGCTGGTGTTGGTGCTGTTGCTGCTGCTGTTGGTGCTGTTGCTGCTGCCATTGGTGCTGTTGCTGCTGCCATTGGTGCTGTTGCTGCTGCTGTTGGTGCTGTTGCTGCTGCTGTTCGTCCTGATTGGGCCTGCACAAGCATAGAACCACTCTGTGAAAATTACAGCAAGCTGTTTACAACAAAAAGCTTCAAAACAGTAATAAGGGACAGTGTTCAAATCGTGAGCACAGAGCAACCAAGCAATACCACTTGCTTTAATCACTTGCCTGCAGGTTTGCCGCATGTCTTGCAAAATGATTTGCACGTCTGGCAAAAGGCTGTACTCGGATATTGTGTTGTGCCACAGTCGGTGTTGTCAAGTGGGCACGTGAGGTTTGTCTCGATGATGTTGCTGCAATAGGGAAGGGGGGAGATGGACACAGCCGCACGGACCTCGTCATTTAAGCTTAGCGTGAAAATGGGAACAGTTGCGGGGCTAAGTGGGAGATAACAAGGGATAAACGGGACAAACAAGTGACCGGAAGAATTTTCCAGTGGAGATGGGAAAAGGTGAGAACAAGCACGTGGGTGGATGCACACAAGGAAGGCGTGTGGGAGGTGGGAGATGAAGACGGTACTAGAAGAGTGCTCCCTACGGACAAACATGCCACTAACATTGCCGGTACCATCCAAACGAATGCAGGGTACTGATTCACCATACAAACAAAAACGGTCAACCTCCTTCACCAAACTGAGAGATCTTCCAAGTACACCCAGGCGATATCAATGAAACAGAGCTAATAAGGTAGCAAATCACGGCTGGGATATCCTGAGGTTGTTGCCATGATACTTACAGGTACTGCAAGTTGGGAGAGGCCCCTAGAGAGGACGGGATGGTTCCATTCAAGTGATTCCCATTGAGAAGCCTGACAGACAATCAAGAACAACAGCTCGGGATGAAGGAGAAGGAGAATGAAGAGGGAGGGAGGGTTATGCGTTCTAAATGCTGGCTAATCATGTCAATAAATCTTGCTTCAACCCCGGAAATGAGCAGAAGCAATCAGTGGTGTTGCTGGTTACAAAAAACAATCATGGCATCAGTTGTTGAGGCTGGCAACACAACCATCCCTTTAAACGCAAGTTGAATTTCTTAAGCAGCCCCTTCAAGGTACTTACCACTCCTCTCAAGCTTAGCACGAGGCCTAAACAAGTTGCTTCGTATTGAGGCATAGGCAATAGAGAAGGTACTTCCTACAGAAAATTGAGAAAAACAAGCGAGGAAATGCTGTTGGGAATGGAGCCCGTCAAAGCGTTGTACGAGAGATCCCTGTGTGTGTGAGTATGTAGGTTGGTAGAAGTGAAAGGATGAGTCTGGTGGGCATGGCTAGAGGGACAGCAAGCACACACAAACGATATTGATAAATCAAAGCTGTTTAGGTAGTGCAACTAGCCATGTGGTTCTTTCAATGTTGTCAACCCCAAAGACAATCATGGCTTTGATATTCAAAGTTTGTTGCTATGATACTTAAAGACCCTCCAAGTCGAGTAAGGCTTCTAGAGAGGACGGAATAGTTCCATTCAAGTGACAAAAGATGAAGAACAGCCCGAAATGAAGGAGAAGGGGAATGAAAAGGGAAGGAGGGCATGTGCTCCAACTGCTGGCCAAATATATCAATAGAATTTGTTTTAGCTCTGAAAATGAATAGAAGCAATCAATGGTCAAGAGACTGTTTCCATGATACTTACAAGGCCTCCATGAAGAATAAAGCCTGTAGTGAGGACGGGATGGTTCCATTCAAGTGATTCCCATTCAGACGCCTGACAGATGATGAAGGACAACACCCCGGGATGAAGGAGAAGGGGGATGAAAAGGGAGGGAGTGTCATGTGTTCTAAATGCTGGCCAATCATTTCAACGAATATTATTTCAATGTTTAATGGAAATGAACAGAAGCAATCAACAGACCTTTCGGTTACAAAAACAATTGTGGCACGTTATGACAGACAACACAACCATCCCTTTGACCTAAGTTGCGGAAGACGCAGGGAGCGTCCTGCGTCTAGCGTCTAGACGCAGCGACTAGACGCTAGACGCAGGACGCACATTTAGACGCTAGACGCATGGGGCAAATTTTTCCGGGCAGCCCAAAAAAATCGCGCACGCGAAATTGAATTTTGCGATTTCGACGCGAAATTCAGTTTCGCGACATTGGAACCCCCTCCCACCCATTTTGACCATAGAAAGAGCATCGGAGGAGGTCGAAACTCACTAAGGAAGCTAGGAACTCACTATGTCACTAAGGAAGCTAGGAACTCACTAAATCACTAAGGAGCTAGGAACTCATTTAGTGTTGCTTAGTGGGAGAAATTGAGAAACGGAAAGCTAGGTCGAAATTGGAATTCGTCACCCGCACCCAACAGATTTGTGAACCATTTCGTGACCAACCAATTCCCCCTCCCATTACCAATTTTCACCGCACTGAATCTAGAAAACCCAACCAATTTGAGATACGAAATTGTGAGCGTCAATGTTAGATCTAGAAGTTCTAGATCTCGATGAATGTCTCACCAGCCTAATTCGTCTTCATCCCATTCCCCCCCCCCCCCCCATGGCCTATAGAAGGTTTTTTTTGCTGCCCGTACTATTTTTTTGGCCTGCCCGGGCTTGCGTCTATCCCAGCGTCTAATCTGCCAAGGCGCGCATCTAGCGTCTTAGACGCTGCGTCTAGACGGACGTGTCTAAGACGCTAGAGACGGACGCGTCTAAGACGCTAGACGCGTCTTCCGCAACTTAGCCTTTGACGTAAGTTGAAGTCCCTAACCAGCCAGCTCAAACTCCTTACCTCTGCTCTCATGCTTAGCATTAAGCCTAAACACGTTTCTTCGTATTGAGGCATAGACAATAGACAAGGTACTTCATACAGAACAGCGAGGCTAGAAAGCGAA